CATTTTTTTTTTTTTTTTAAGCTTTGTAAATGCCACTTAGGGAAGTCAACAAGGGTGACCCTCTCGGGCTTTTTCCAGCAGTGATGACACAAAGCCTACATATTCCGCCTTGAAAGAGTTCGGCTTTTTATAGCGACTTTTAGCTGAACACTTGCCAGGAGTAGTTTGTGGTTCAACAGAGGAATATTTTCCCCCAACTAGTAGCAGCTGAATGCACTCTGAAAAATTTGCTATGTGAAACTGCCCCACACTTCGCTCATGAGAGGGAGGCTGAGATAACGGGGTAAAAGGGGATTTTAACCTCACCTCTGCTGCTGGCGGACGTTTCCCGTGTCACCCACAGGTGGTTTGCCTCATGCAGCGGGCTGGCTGAGCAGGGCCTTTCCCAGGGGTAGTGCTTGCCCTTTTGCTGTTCCTCAGTTTTCTGGAGCTGTGGGTTCCTTGGAGCTTTGTTTGCACGTCTGTGCTTTCGCTGGCTTGCAGCTGGTGATCCCGGGCAAGCAGGCTCCACGGTGATTCCTCCTGCTCGCCCAGCTTTGGGCTCTAGGGATGAAGCAGCTTGGCGATTCTGACATTGTCCCGTGTCAACTCATCCAGGGACAAATAGAAACAAATGGTTGAAAAGCAGCAGAGCCCCCTTGCTCCCACCTCTGCACTGAGTCAGGACTGATCCTGGCGATTCCCTGGTAACATCTTCTTCTTAACATCCTCCAAAGGAGGCTGCACAAGCACCAAAGTTGCCCCTTGCAGTGCTACGTTCCTACCACATGTCAGCTTTCCTAACATTTAATCTTTGCACTGCTGAGCTACTTTATCAAGTGTTCCATCCTCAAATGTGGCTTCTCCCTGGCCTCTTGGCATCAGGCATTCAGCCAAGGCAGAGTTGTAATAAAGGTACCAGTGGCCTGGCCTCCACTAGGACGTGGGCTTTCCTGCACGCTGTATAACACAAGAGGGGTTTCTGCTGAAGTACCACGTGACGTGGGGAAATACTGCTCCAGTCTGGTGCTCTTCCATCTGGCAGAGTGCAGGGCAAGACACTGAGAGCTTGAAGGCTTCAAAGGCTTTCGCAGGTGGAGCCTCCAGCTTGGCCATCACCAACGAAGACCCAAATGCTCAAGGGGCTCCCATCCTGCCGCACTGCCCAGTTAGGACTAAGTGCTAAAGATTTGGTGTTCTTGGCCTAAAAGAGAATAGGAATGGAGGGTTATTAGTGTAGGAACTTTGTCCCTTTCTCAGTCTAAACTTCTATGGCTCTCCTGACTTCTCAAAACATGTATTTGCTATGAGAATGGGGGAGAGAAGCAGAAGGAGAGAATATTACTGGCAGGGGAGGCTGATAGGAATATCCTTATCTTGGATGCTGCTAGTTTAGTTTGGTCATCTTTTCCAGAGAAAGAGATGCCTTTTCTGCATGAAAAGACCCCAGTTCCGAGATGGAAATGCCCACTCCTGGCGGGGGTTGTGCACAGTCCAGGCGACCTCCAGTGCAGGGGCTCGGGACACCTTGAGTTGTCCTTGGAGCTTGTTGTCCTTCTTACCAGTACAGCAAGATTTAGGGTGCCAGCTGGAGGACCTCATCAGCTGCCCAGCTTGATCAAAGAGGGGGAGCCCAGATACCCTGGCTCCCAGCTGAGGTTTAGCCAGGCAGCTGCAGTTCTTGCAGCTGCAGCGGGTGTCTGGGGCTCCAGTGCGACCCAGGTCTGCCCGGGCCTCGGCAGTGTTTGAAAAAGAGCAGTTGTATTTCAGGCTTGTAGAGCTGACTGTGGCTACGCTCAGTCCCGGTGCTTTCTTCTCCCCACGTTAACATGAAGAGCAATGCAACAACAGAGGTCCTTGCTGATACCCAGTTCCCCCAGTCCACGCCTAACTGCTGGACTTGCCCTTGCCTGAAGCACTTTTCCTTGGGAGGTGCCCAAGAAACCTCCTCTCCTGCTGACTGCCAGAGCAGAGTATGGAGTTTTTTTTAGTTTTATTTTGTTTTTTGACATTGTGGCTGTTCAGGATGCTGGGCTGGGCAGATCCTTCATCCCTTCAGACAGAGCAAGGGAAGCTGCTGCTTTTGAAGGCTTGTTCTCACCCCCAGGTTTGCAAGGGTTTAGGTATCACCTCTGTGACTCTGAGGAGCCAAACACTTCAGCGTGTTGGTGAAGAGCGAGGACAACCACCCAACGAGGATCAGCCTCTTCTGCCAGGATTACGGGTCTGGGTGAGGCTGGTGACACCCCAAGGCCAGCAGGCAGCTCGCGAGCTCAGTGCCACTGCTGTCGCTTGCTCTTCTAATGGCGAGAAGTCCTGTGAGTGCTCGTATGTTGTTCAGTTTGCCCTAGTGAGGTTTTTTTTGACCTGGGTGGAGCAAGATTTGAGAGTGATTGGCTGTTTGGGTGTTTTTATTTGTTAGCACAAGCAAGAGCGCTGGCGTTCAGCTCCGTTAGCCGGCTGCTGCTACAGCCCAGCAGAGGCAGGCTGGAGAGTCCTTTGGGGCTCTTTCTGGGCAGACAATGTTTCGGGCGCTGGTGCCATTTGTAGGCTGTTTATTGGAATAGTTAGACCTTGCCTGAGGTTTCTCTGCCAAGCTTCATGCAGGTTTAGTCAGAATTTCTACATACTGAAATTTCTCCTTATGTGGACTTGCAGGCAGTTTAACAGAGGGGGATCTTCCTGTTAAATGTTGACCTTTACAAATAACAGCATCCAGTTCCCCAGGCACATGAATCCCACTTGGTTTCCAGGAAACAGGCTTTGTTATAAAGTCCTGCGTGAGAATTTTACATTGCTGAATCCAGCTGGTCTCACAGCCAGACCACTCTATGCCAAGCAAAGCTTCCTCCAGCTCAGATCCCATCTCTTCTCACACATACACGTCCCATCAGGCGGTCGTAGACCAAGCCATGATTAATTGTAAATTTAATTAGTTGACAAGGTGAAATAACTTAAAGGATAAAAGCCCCTTTTGGTTTCCAAGCGTGAAGTTTCCAAAGCCCAGAGAGCAAAGAGGAACAGTAAAGCAGTGCAAACGTCTTCCTGATAATTCAAATGACTGTTTTCCTTATAAGCAGTGGCTGAGGACAGGAACACGGTGACACTGAAATGTGGACGTAACTCTCTCCCAGAAATGACTCAGAAATTTAGTATAGAGAGGATAATTTCCTCAAATGCTATCAGCCCTGCATAAAAGCCCCAAGCCCATGCTGTTCTCCAAGCCGCAGTTCCCTATCACCCTATGCTGTTAAATACTTAAAACAGGAGGGAAAAAAAGAGCACATAAAAACCCACAGCAGTTTATTCAATCTGCTCAGACATGGCTCCTGCTTCAGTTTGCCTCTGTCTAGGGCCTCGCGCTCGGCGGCCAGCTCCTCGCATCCGGGTGCAGCAGTGACTCATAGAGAGCAGCACCTCCCCAGACCTCACAAAAGTCTCTCCTGGCAAGAACCTACTTCCTCGCAGCAGGGTTGGTTCAAACACGTTCCCAGGATGAACACCTGCCTGCAATAAAAGTGGTGCATCTGCCAGCCCAGTGCTGGAGGGTTTGAGATGGAGTCAGTTAAATGATTAACACTGGTTTGAGGAGTCAGTGGAAGTCTTTCCCAGTGAGGTCACTGGTAGCTGGCTCACACCTCCACATGTAGATGAAGACAGCTGTGACCACTAGAGCAAACCGAAAGGGGATTTTTCGAGGTGCGGAGAGGCATGGAGTGGGATCTGAGCAGGGCTGCGTTACCGTTTCATAATCCTGATCCCAACAAACTCCAACGATCCTTGGCCCTGCAGGCATGACCAAATGACAGGTCAGGCAAATTCCTTCTTCTGCATACAGATTTCTGCACGTTTTCCTTTTGACAGAGGTTGCCCTTCACTCCGTGTCCTTCCCCGCGCTCGGCAGCCAGACCGGCTGCTTCGTGGCAGGCTCAGCCCTGGAGATCCTGTGTCAAGGGACTTGGGGAACGTTGCTTTATACTGAACCTGTTTGAAATTGCCCACCGCTATTCTGCAGAGGAGGCACTGATTTTTTTTAGCATATTGACTCGGCAGTCAATCGATAAGTGAAAGAAGGGAGCTAAAGAAGTAAAGTACAAGATTCTCTTTTTTACCCAAACTTTGGATCCAGTTTCTTGCGGATCCAAAGAGCGTTACAGAGCATGTTTTAATTTTCACTTGTTCCCAGAGTTTGCTTCCAGGTGGATGATGGAAGGACTCTTGTCTTTTACAGAGAAGCTTGCTTCTGCCTAGAGAGGCTTAAAAGTTCACTCACGGGAATTAATCCAGAGAACAGGATCAAGGCTGAAGCAGTTTTCTTTCTTCTGTTTGTTCAGCTGGTGTTTGGGCCCCCTTAGGTTGCTCACAAGGCAACCTTAATATGTCACGGTAAGTCTCAGTCTGGGCACTGCATCCTGTTAGCTTGAACAAAAATAGAATAAGTTGGTTAAACCTTCTGATGCCCTTTGCTCACATCAGTTTTCTGGGAAACTTGGTCAGGAAGCTTGGAATGATGATTATAGTACACTTACATGATTCTCTGACTATTTGGAACAAGTGCTTTCTGTATTGCTACCTGGGTCAGCGTAAAATAGGGGTCTTCCCAAAGCAATTGTTTGCTTACCCCTTGAAAAACATTGGCATTTTCCATCTTACTCAATGTTTAGGGAGAGGGCTAGGACAGCCCGCCGTCCCTGAATGACTAAATAACGTTGGAAACCAGAGAGTTAGTATTGCGCTTGTGTGAGAAAAAGCACAGCGACTGCTCGCCCAGGAAGAGCGTCAGGTACCCGGAGCACCAGGTCGCCCTTTCTGTGCCAGCAGCGGCCAGTGCTTGGTTTGGGGCTCTCCCAGACATTGCTCTGATCGTAGCTGAGCTGCAGCTGGGCTGGACTTAGCTGTAACACAGGGAAGCGGGGCCAGGAGATTTGTCATTTTTCTGCAGAACGGCAAGGAAAGGACAACCTCCCAGATATCTCTAACTAGAAATACAAGCTTGGCGGATACGTGCCTTGGGTGATCTGGGCCCAGCTTCTGAGCTCAAGGTGTCTGGAGGGAAGGGTGTTTTCCACTGTGAAGCACAAAGGACCACATAAAGGTTTGGAGAGTTGAGATCAGCTGCAGGGACACGCTCTGAAGTTCTTGCTCAGTCTCAGTCTGACCACCAACATCCCCACCTCTAGTTTCTATTTCTGTCTCTGTACTACTTTCTGCGATACTGAAGGTTGGCAGGCAATTTATTGGACTTGTCTTGGCCTTCCCAGAAGACAAGGAATATTTAGAGGGAAACTTGGAAGATAAGACTAGGATTCCCCAGTTCATGACGCTGAACCTGAAACACAAATTACCCCTGGCAAAAGCAAAATCAAGTTCTCCTTTCGCCCAGTTTCGTAGGTTGTGTACCGATATGATGTCATGCAGAAACAACCGAGCCTGTGACTCAGCACCTCTCATTTACGGAGATGCCCTGCACTTTACAGCAGCTGCACTCATATGACTTTTATTAGGTCTTTCACAGTTTGCAGAGTAAAAATCCTGTGATCCTATCTCTTCTCATTGCCTAGAGATGAGCTGTCAAAATTTCCACCACACTGAGAACATGGGAGCTAATTTGGGAGAGTTTAATCCTTGCAGAGGACACAGCTACGTGGGAGCAGTTGTGTTTTGACTCGGTAGCTGTCCTCCCACTGCCACAGGTAACCAGCTGGTTTCACCCTTCGTGCAGAAAGCGTGGTGTTCAACACATGTGGGTATTACGCACGGCCTTAGATGTAAAACTAAGCGTTGTTTAGTCTAGGAGGAAAAAAAATCTCACAGCAGGGCATGACAGCCCTTAGGATCACACAGGTGAGCCGGTTCTCCACGTACAAAAGCACGTCTGAGTGAGCAGTGGGCTTCAGCGGCAAAACACGGATGCCCAGCAAAATCTCAAAACAAAAGGCTAGGGCAGCCTGTGCGTTCAGCTGAACGTTACTGTTTAAAGGACCAGCCACTGAGGAGGGCCTAATTGTACTGCTTGATTCTGGGAACAAAGAACTCCTTGTTTTCTTTGTGACTTTCTCGTTGGGGCATTTGTTTTCTTTATGGAGCAACCAATTTTTGTGGGAGAGTATGACTCAAAAAAAAAAAAAGCTTAAGGAAGTTTGCAGGGAAGCTGGTGTCAGGTTATTTGACTTCTGAGAACTGGCAGAGGAGTTTCTGGATAGGAATTGCACTGGAACACGTGAACTCTGCAGCTTTCTGTTTCAGCAAAGCATTTAAGGAGCTGCTCAATTTTACAGTGAGTTTCGTCTGTCCTTAGAGCAGTGCTTATGGTATATCCTGAACACAGGCTTCTTACAGCTGGATCGGAGATTTGAATTAGTGCCTCCAGTCATCCACTGTGACATCCCCGAGGCTGAGGGATGTAAGCTTCAAATGACGAAGCATTTTCTAAATAAAGTTGTGCCTGTTGCACGCCGGCAGCTGCTTCCCCCAGCTGCTGGGCCGATCCCTGGCAGGGCAGTGGCAGCGCAACAGCAGGACATTTCTGTCCATAGCTGCTTGCTTGTGCTTCACGTCTCAGGCACAGCTGACCGAGGATGAGCCTCTGTGAGGCAGGCGGGTTGGACAGCAGGTGGGTTTAAGCATTAGAGTCCTCTGCAGGCGTTCGCTCCTGTCACGTCCGCCTTGGAAGGGAGTAGCTCTTAGGGGAGGACTGCATGGGAAACGTGTAACTGCACTGGTGGTGCGTGTGCAGATGGCTTGGCAAAGACAGTGTCATCTACAAAAAGAAGACATTACTCATGAGTTGCTAGTAGTGTTAACGAGCTTACTGCCTGTTCTGCCAGCAAGGATTTTTCTCTCCAGGAAAGTGAAGGGTGTTTTATCCCGTGAATTCGTAAATGAATGTATCTACTACCTCATCTTCATAACTGCCTTTTGGTAGCACCTGACAACATGATCGTGGGAAAGGTGAAACTGCTTCAGAAGCAGTTTTCTGATGATCTCCTGGCATCCTCAAAAGAGGATATGGGTAATGTGGCATTCAGTAGATGACACTTGTTTAAAAAAAAAAAAAAATCAAATTTTGCAAACTCATTTGGAGTCAGCTTCAAGGAAAGACAACGTAATAGAGTAGGAGTGAGAGGATTCCTTCTAGCTCCAGAAAGTGATTTTATGTGTTTAGAAATGGGGCTGAATTCCACAGCTGACTAATTCATTGAAAATCTTCCTCCTCTTCTTGTTTCTAGTTGGTGTGAACTTACTTTATGGAAGAAGTTCTGGTCAGTTTTTTCCCCCAGTGACGCTGAACACTGCATTGTCCAAGTTTTCTGCTCCAGTCCTCAGTCATGCTTTTTTCCTACAGAGGGTTCTGACTGCTTTGTAGTATTTAGTTGCTTCTTTGTTTCATCAGAAAATGTAATCAGCCTATCGCTCCAAGGTAATTAGTGTCATGGATAAAGACTCTTGTGATCAGATCTGAGTTGTGCAGATGAAATTGTACTGGCTGCCCTACTCAGAGCAGGCAGTACTAATTGCTGGGAAGTGTATCCTTGTGAACTGTTTTCAGATATAAAAAAATGCCTAAGCAAGCATAGGGAAACTAACAGCCCCCAGTAGTCATCATGGAAGTTGGTTTTACCAGAGGAGTGTGGAAAAAAACTCCGTAAGGGATTTCAGAAGCACTAGAAACAAAACCGAGCATCAACGCCGCAGGAAATGCCTGAGGTCCAGCAAACAAAATGTGCATTATACACCAGGAGGACTTTTTGTAGGGGATTGCCAACTTGTGTAAAGTTCCGGTGTGAGAAAGCACCTGCTCTAGATTCTCTGACATCCTGCGGCCTAATGAGAGCTTGGGACGCTCCTGATTTCCTCTCTCTCCCGTTTGTAATTACCGCTTTTAATTCCTTCAGCAGGGCAATGGGCGCATTGGAGCAGCGGAAAGTGCTGGGCACAGCCTCCGCGTGTCTGTCTGTCTGCGTGACACTGCTAATACGCTGTGGGTCTAGGCAAAGGATAGATTTCTAGGAAAATGCAGATTTCTCTCGACAGTGTGAACAGGGCCCAGCCAAGTTACTGCAAAGTCAAGAACATGCGTTTTCTTTTCTCAGGATTTTCTGTCCTTTGTGGTTGTGCCCTGCACTGGCTTCTTCGCTTAACTTTTTTTGCAGGCACGTCACAGATGCAGCATGTAGGTGTTGTTCCCTCAAAACTAGGTGACTTTCTGAAAGTCCTGATGTCATGAGAAGGTGTCCATCCTCCTCCTGCTCTTTAGTGTGGGGACCCTTTCGCAGTCCAGTGAAGTCTGCAAAGCAGTTTCGGTAAGTACAACCACCAGATTCGAGCCTTGTTTTCCCAAGAGCGGTCACACCTTGGTTCTTGAAGAAGAACTCTGTGTGCTTTTGTACTGCTGTTTTATAGAAAGAATGATTTCATCGCTCCTTCTGGCAGAAAGTGGATCCTGATCTAAGTCAAATGCTGAGATTAGGCTGCAGATGCTCTCTGAGGCCAGTATTTCTGCAGAAAGATGGCTAAACTGCTGAGACAAGAACGATTGCTCTATGAAGTCCAGTAGAAAAAACTGCCCCCTCAATACCACTTTCATCCTGGTAGACCCATATTTCCATTCTCTGATAGTGCCTTTGTTCTACAACTTTATGGTCCTTCCTCTAGCACTGAAGAATGCATTAGACACTATCTATCTGATTCATGCTGGGCTTGTCTGTACCTTTTTTGTTATCGTAATAAGCTACTTTCCGATAGGGTTTGGTAAGGCCCTCCTGCTGGGCTAGCTCAGCTCCCACTGAGCTCAGTGGGAATACTGATAAATCTCATTTGATGACATTTTCCTGGTCTGGCAAATTACTAGAATACAACTGTATGAATCAGCTTAGAAGAGGAAGGAAAAAAAAAAGAACTGTCCAGAGAAGGATATAGTTGCTTACAGTAAATATGCCTAATCAGATGTTACAATTCTTTGATGCCTCTTATTATGAAGCACTAGAAACAATAGCGAACCTTTGCAGGAAGTGTGACAATTGGGTGTTCACCATTCCCAAAGAGAGTGGGCAACATGCATGGAGAGCACTGCCTCTTACCCTTGATCCTATTTCTTTCTGCTGAAAATCAGAATAGAGTGTTTTCAACTGAAAATATGCAATAGTGGATCCAGTTGCTGGCATACCACCCAAAGATGACGTGAGAGAGATTGTCACTTTTCACAGAATCACAGAATGGCCAAGGCTGGAAAGTACCTGTGGAGATCATCTAGTCCAACACCCCCCCCCCCCCCCCCCGTTACACAGAGCAGGTTGCCCAGGACTGTGTTCAGATGGCTTTTGAACATCTCCAAGGATGGAGACTCCACAATATCTCTGGGCAACCTGTTCCAGAGCTCACTCACCCTCACAATAAAAAAGTGTTTTCTCATATTCAGACAGTACTTCCTGTGCATCAGTTTGTGCTCTTTGTCTTGTCACTGAGCACCACTGAAAAGAGTCTGGCTCTGTCTTCTTTACACCCTCCCTTCAGCTATTTATACACATTGATAAGTCTCCCCCCCCCACCCCCCGCCCCGAGCCTTCTCTTCTCCAGGCAGTGTTCGTGGCATCAAAATGGAATGTAAATTGGCAGAAGGCAAAGGCTATTCCCATCTCTCTGCCGCCTTATATCTCGTTGGAGACAGTTTTGGGCCAAATCATAACAGAAAACTCTGCTGGAAGGGATTTTGAGAGGGCATCCAGCCTCTTCCTTGCCTCTCTGGCAGGATCAGTTCAGTTCGTTTATCTTGCTGCACGTGTGTCCAACCACCTTTTGGGAAAACCATACGCGAACACTTGGAATCAATCCTTTCAGTCTCTGAAAATGGGCACAAGACTGGGGGGGGATTCACTCTGTGGTACTTCTTTTGGGAAAGGCTGAGGGTCGCTAGTAAAGCTGCAAGCAGAGGCAAAATCTGCTTTCCTTTATTTGTGGACACCGCTATCTGTGGCTGCCAGTCAGATACCTTCCGCATTAATAATAATGAAAAAAATGTATATGATTATTTGAGGCGATAACGTTAAAGACCAGTGAAAGTACAGCTCCTTGTCTTTCTTCACGGATTCATTCAGAAGTTCCCTCCTTGAACCAATACCCTTTGCTAGCAGTAAAGCCCCATTTTGTTGTTTCAGAAAATAATGAAATGCCTAATCAATTCAGAGTCCTTTAAATACTTGCATCCAGGGTTTTAACTGTGGACCATTTTTAAGCTTCTATTTTTTTCCAGACCCATAGTGGTACCTTATAGTTAGTTATTCATGCTGATTTGTAAAGAGCACTTACTTCTGGAAAGCATGACCTAGCCTAACAGTCACACGCCCAACACCAGCTGAAACATCATCGCTGAGTGGAAGCATGCTTCCAGACTCATCAGTTCCACAGTAAAACACCCTTTTGCTTAAGGTTACTCACTGTAATGTGTATAGACAGATCTTACCTTTGCTGAACTGCTAGACATGCCCTACATGTTGGTGTAGAAATGATGCTATAGTATACATCAACTGTACAGAAGTAGGAAGAGGTCAGAATCTAGGCTATATATTTGAAGGACAAGACTAAGACTAGCTAGATTAGGAATTAAAAAGAAAACTTCAAAAATAAACTAGAGGTCGAGGAAAGATATTAAGCCCACTTCTCTAGGATGGACTGATTTCAGTTTGACAGGGAGCAGGAAGGATAATCAAGGGCAGGTTATCCTGTAATACCTTCTACTTGCTTCTGCACCTTGCCCTGAAACAGCTGGTACCGGTTCAATGCCTTAAATAAGATGTCGGACTTAGCTAGAAGCTGTGCCTGATTTGTCCTGGCATTTCCTCTGGTTCTGTGGGATGGGATGCTAAAGGGCATAGGATACAATCTTGTATCAGCACCACTGAGAAGCAGGCATCCCACCAGGCCCTTGCAGTGAGGCGAACTTGCATCACTGTTGCCTTGCACTAGCATGGGCTGGTGCTAGGTGGTACTGGCAAAGTGCTGTAACTCAGTTATCCTGTATCTTTCAGTAGTTCCAAATGAAGACAAAATTGTCACCACATCAACAGGGTTAGCTTCTTTAACAGCATGCCAAATCAAAAAGAATGACATTGTACCCTCAGGTCTTAGTCTAATGCTGTCAAAATCAACTTCTTAGCTCTAGGACTGTTCCCACCACCCTGTTTTTTAGCCTAGCTGCTACTTCCAGTCTTTAGAGAACGTGACCGGTCCTTAGCTAAGAATCAGATGCATCTGCTCCTCTGCTGTCTTCCTCCTCTAATCACAGGGCTTGTGGTGACACTGTTATCAAGGAAATAGCATCTTTCAACACTGCAGCTCCCTCTCCTTTGCTGGGGTGGCCCTGCTTGTGTTCTAGAATTGTCCATTCTGCTGTCTATGCTGTCCCTTCAATTATTCACCTCAGTAGATGATCATTGATTTCATGTTGGCCTCACATTTTGGCACACCTGCAATTCTAATTCTGCATACCAAATATGCAGTACCTCTCAAACCTGGCTGTCCTTCAGGCCTGAACTGAATGCAGGTGCAAGGGCCATTCAGAAGGTTTTTGTCTTTTCCCACATGGTATGATGCACAGCTAGTCTTGAAAGAATTGTCTTTAGGCAGAATTGTCTCTATATAAACTGCAGTGGTTACAAATTACCCTTTCTTTCTTGTCTCAAAGCGTCTACTTTGATATAAACATATGCTCTGGATGAAATCCACTTCTGCTTTTGTTTGGAGCCACCTGCTGTATGACAGGTAGTTATCCTGAGACCTTTAGCTCATGGTCACATAAAAAGATTCTCTGTCATAGGACGTGCATTAGAGCATGGGCTGTAAGTACAGTCCACAGTCAAGTTCAGCAATGATTTTTTTTTCTTAGGTCTGCTCACAGATGGGCATACGTGGGCTAAGGGCCTTCTGCACAGCTCTGTAACCTGTATAGATGATCACTTCCTCAGGTGCTATGGATAGTGCTGTGATTAACAGATACTGTCAAAAGCATTAAAAAGCTTTTTCTTATAAAGGAAACCTCTTGCCTCCTGCTGCTAACTGCTAATAAATATTTGCATAGCAGGGAAATTCCAGAGAGATTAGAGAAAGTTAATCTTCTGCCAGTGTTCAAATAAGGCCATTGGCATGAGTTCTATGACTATTAGCTGATTAACTTCATCTCAGTGTAAAGCACGTTAAAGGAAAAAGTGATTACTAAGTATGGGTGCTGAAGCTGTTTCAGCTTGGAAATATACAGCAACTCTTCAGAGAAATAAATTTCTGTAAACTGCCATGAGCAAAATAGGCCTGTCTCAAACAATACAAAAATCTGAAAAAGACGGTATTATGATGTAATTACTCAGAAACATCCTGTCTTTGGTTGGAAAGTTTTGCAGAGGGCTCACTTGGTATGTAAAAGAACGTGGAATAAGAAGTCTGTGCTTCCTATAACAACTTGTGCTTTATACAAGTCTAAAACGTGACAAATACCATGACGCTGAAATCCTGACATTTGATTACTGTTCAAGATGTAAAAGAGCTATCAGCATGCCACGCCTGACTATTCCAGCAGGATTCCTTATGCAACGGCCACTGTCACTTTTCAGAATCCTGTTCCATGTCCATTCTGGTTGTACTCCACAGGTCTCTACTGATGTATTATTAGCAGTATAGACCTGGCTATACGGACTGAAGCTGCAGCAAAACTGCCCAATGGAGGAACTCAGCGTCCTTGTGTAGTCTTTTATGACCATACAGAGCAACTGCAACAACAACAGCAAAAAAGTAATAACTTCAGGCGGTACAAGGTCAGAGAGACCCAAGTCCAGTTGTGCTTGCACAGCAAGATGTTTACCTCTTACCTATCAGCTGACCGAGCTGGATTCCTTCATTGCAGTTATGCTATAGGGAGGATGCACCAAGGGAACTCAGCAATGGGCTTGACTCTTCTGCCTGCCGGGCTCTCCAGGAACCTGGGAAATCTTTTGACGGTAATTTTATTCGTCATCCTGGAAAACTCTGACTGCAAAGCTGTTTCCTTAAACGGATTCTGCGAGGCAGGAAGGTGCGTCTGTGTGCTCCATCAACTAACTGCTGTTCCGGCTCTAGAAGCTGACTCTGATTATGGATCCTTCTGCTGGCACTTTTAGATAAATCCTCACTGATTTTTTTTTGTGGACATCAGAGCATGCTCCTACCTATAGATCACAGCTGATGCATCTTTTTGCATTCCAAGAAAGCGTGCAGGATATGTACAAACAGTGGGCCACTGCTGAAAAAGCGTAAGGACACAACTGACAAGGATGACCAGGCAAAACAAGTTTCTAGTCACAGCACGATGGTGCTAAACAGCCTCTCTTTGGCATCACTGTGTTCTCCAGAACTCAAAAGTCCATTATTTGTCATATACGCTTTCACAGTCCTGAAAATTTAGGAAGAGGCTTCAGCATGGATTTATTCTGCGCAAGAGAACTTGTGCGATCGCAGCAAATGGCACAATCTGTGACCTTAATGTTTTCTTCTTTCACTGCCTATCTTGTAAGGCTGCTTACAGGTAGAATCATGCATTAAGAAAAGCAGGCAACAGCTTTTTTTTGTATTTTTAACACCAAGGAGAAATTAGTAGCTGCGCAAAAAAGTCCTCAGCTTTAATACTATTAAAGCCTTAATCGGCAATAGTATTCCACGCCTGGAAACGTGCCAGCGCAGAAGCTTTAATTGCAATGAAATTTCATGCTCATTTAGGCCTCTAGCTTCACAGAATCAGGTCCTTGATTAAGATGTCGGGGAGAGGGATTTCCTTATGTAAAGCACTGTTGCACCTCCAGGGTCCAAGCAGTCACTAACATCACCACCGTGAAAGACAGCAGGCATGTCACAGCTCCCAGGCGAAAGGACAGAAAGCAACATGCATTAGGGTTATTCCTTTCACAAAGGAATAAAGGGGATGAGAAAGTTTAGTGCTTCCCACGCTTGAGAACCTGGAATTTTAAAGTCAATATGTTTACTTTTATTTAAGAGCTCCCGCTGGTATGTGCCACAAAGCATGCATTTGTTTCAGTCTTTGTGTCTAGACACTCATGAGAACAGCTATGGCCTTGAGCTCGAAACTGTTTCGCCTCCCTGGTCTCCTAGGGAATAGAGGGAGGAAGAGATCTGAGAAGAGTATGTGGAAAGCCTGGAAAACCCCTGGCATCCCACTAGACATTTCACATTACTTCACTAAGGCATTTTTTTTGTCTTTCAGCAAAGCACTTCTCTCCACCAGGCACTTTTTTTTCAGTTTCATTGTTAGCACCAATCCAGCCAACAGAAGCAAGAGCCAGGACCACACGGATACCCTGAAAACAGTCAGGCTTTCAAAGATGGCCAAGTGCAAGAGATTTCCCTTAGAATTAATAGCCATGGGGCATCCAGTTCTGTTGTACACTTGAAACAGTCAGCCTTGTATCACATGTAGGATCTGGAGAAAAATCCCACTTCTTACAGGAGGTGAATAATCTTCAAGGGATCCTTTACGTTCACAGAGTGCATAAGAAACATGAGGCAGGTCACTAGGTTTAAAGGTGCCTAAAGAGATCTCTGCTTTTTTGAGTTAGATCTACTGTAGTTTAATTCTTCTGGGATATGGTATTGACATTAGCACCATCCAAATTCAAACTCAGATGCTACATTGTACCATCCATTCTAACAACAGCAAGTAACTGCAAGTGATCTGCATTGGATATCGGAATGACTTTAGTTCTGTACCAACCACTTTTTCTTCTATGAACGACGTCCATACAACGACAAATGGTCTGGTCTGAGATTCTCCAACTATTTGTTCTCAGGTTTTGGTTTCCAACATTTCCATTGATTCTGAGTTTCTGCCAAGAATCCATTGATTTTTCAACACGCTACAAAGTACAAATAGCAGCTTTCCTCCTTTCTTCTGCACTTAAATAGTCTTTCCCACTGGGATTAAAGAGGCAGTTATTTAGGCTGCAAAGCTGGGCTCCATTAACATAACCTACACAGAGATGTTTGAATGCATCAGCAAAGGCCCTTTAAGATCAGCTCTTTTTTGTTTCACCTCTTTTTTTTTTTTTTTTTGCTTTCTTCAGCAAAGAGATGAAAAGCATTACCCTTGCTAATGCTTTTAAGACACACTAGCTGCTTCTCTGCTGAATCACTTTGAGCTTTCTGTAAAGGGAGGTGTGAAGAATTCTGCCACATCACCAGAGCCAAGCATAAGAATTTGCACTGACTTCACCTTTTGGGACTGTGGATTATTACAAAATGCAACAATTAAAAATAATATCCCACTGCTAATACGCTGATCACGCAGTTGTTGGATGTAACCAACTCTGTTCTAAGAAAGAAGAAAAAGCATTGACTAAAAGGCAACCTGCCTTACCCCCACAAAGAAGTTGCATAGCACATGTTTTTCCCTCGCGCAGACAAATTAGATGGTTACCTACAGCACATCACTTATTCTGCACGGATTACTGTAATGATCTCTTCTTATCGTATCCAGCCACCTTCTCCTACTACTAATTGACACAACTAACTTGCAGAGGGTTTGACTGATGAAGTGGTAGGTCACACTAGAGCTAGAGTTGACTCTAAGGGGCAGACAGTGCACTAAAAAAAAATCTCAGCTGACAGTTTGCCTAGCCTTCTCCTCATTGTAGCATTACTGAGGAGTGAGAGTCTGCTCTCCAGTATGCACATATGATTTCCACTAACTTCATGTACTTGTGACACGCTCCAGCTGCCTTGACACTTTGACTCAAATGTGATAGAATGAGTTATGTTCTTGTGTGGAAAAATTCTGCAGTAAGTTGCATGCAGAAAGTTTCACAGGCGATTTTAACAAATACCACTTTCTAACTTGCTCAGATTGAGCTAGAAAAACGTCCCCTTCATCATATGAACATGTGGAGATCAACAACCACTGCCAAAGCACTGTAAAATGCATCCAATTGTTTTTAAAAAAGATATTCAGAGAAATGTTACTTGTATGTCCACCGAATTACACTTGGGTAGGCCACATGAGAAGTGAACTATTTAGCTTTTAGAGCTGCCTTTTTGTTCTTGCTTGCATTTGCAAAACTAGAGGGCCAAGTACAACTACTGCTGTACTTATAAGACTCATCAGTTGTTTCAGTATGAGAAGTTTAAAGGAGTAGGAAGCTTTATTGCATATTGATTTCTCCTTGCCTAGAGATTCAGCTTTCAGCCCAGAAAGTACAGAGAGGACCTCAATTCCCTCTGGTTACAGAAGATACCAATCATTCTTACCATTAAAGAGACTGCACAACCGAGATCAACAGTGCTTCTGAAGATCATGCCCTGTTAAGAATACCCATCATAAGCAGCGTACTGTTGTGCAGTTGCTGGCTTCCATATCTGCATTTACCACAGGTAAACGTCACGAATCAATGTGCCAACTGAAAACTGAGTTACAGTCAACGCTGTCTCTCCCCATTATACAAACAACAGCATAATAGGGCCAGTAACACCATGGGGCTGGAACAGCGAGATATCACCTCAGTTAAAAGGACAGCCATCCCCCAGGCTCCCTCTCCCCTTTCTGATCCACCTACCCAGTTCCTTCAAGGGAGAGTTCCACTTCATTGGCCTCTAACCCCTGTTAGATTAACAGATCAAGACTCACAAAACAATACAGTAGAAAATTATGTCCTTTGCATCTGCAACAAAGTGTGGATTGCCACTCAGCCTTTGGGAAGTCTACGCTCGCAGGCCAATGACTTAATACACAATGCAAGAGATTTTTTTTCCTCCCAGTTAGAATCCTTTGCTCGAGTTTTTTTTTTAGACACAGAAAGAGAATGTTTGTCTCCAAAAAAACTTAGGAAAGAATCAAGTTTAAGAGGAATCCTGTGGATCTTCTTCTTTAAAGAGAACAGGAAACTGCGTGGAGAGAGGGTGTCCATTCCTTGGCTAACTTGGAATTTCTTACGTGATGTCCTTCTGTCTCGGGGGTCGGTGAATATTCCTCACCACACACTTCACCATCCATTCAATTCCCTCATTCACTCCTTTGCTAAAGAAATAAGATAAATAGACAAGATTATTAACAATAATAATTACAGCTTATGTAGTCCCTAACTGACCACTTACAAAAGCAAGTGAAGTGTTCTGCCCTTCAGTTATTTATTGGAATTACTATGTTAGTTTCTCATACACCCAAACAACGGGCATCTGATTTTTGTTTTTTAAATTGTTGTTTAAACTCCATCCTTTACTTCTCTGGTGTTTGTACAAGTTTAGATCCAATTTAGTTAGTCATCAACTCTGTGGAAACCTTGGAATAAAGCATCAAACCACTTGACGGTCAGCTGGTTTGAGGTTATTTTGCTACAAACCTCAGGCCAACTATATCAAGTCTTCCGATCTAGGCTCCAACTTTATGTAATCGTCTGTGCTGGGGTTGCCAAGCAACTCACCAGCTCACCGGTCTGCATAGCTTCCCAGCCAGGACTTCCACAATTTTTTTTCTTTGGTTCAAACTCAAAATGAAAATTTGAAAGGAAATTCCACAGAAATCAAAACTAGAAGTGTAGGCACAAAAAACACATGAATTGTAAAGGTTGCATTTCATAAGATTATTATCTAACACAGAAGTGTCCAGTCAGTGCTAACCATTGTTGTTGTGGTGGTCATTCATCTGCTTAATGGCATTTGATTCTTAGCAATGTGGACAACGTATTTTTTTCTTGTGGTTTGAGAGGCCTTTTTTTTTTTTTTTTTTAAATACAATTACAGCTTTGCTGCTAGATTAAAAAAAAGGCAAAGTCCTGGATTCAGTATAGGCAGGCACTAATTCAGATGAAAATATTTCTAGCCATCTACAACAGTACTTTAGAATTGTACCAAACAATATTTTTAACCCAAAGAACTAAGAGTGTACCTAAAGTACTGCAAGACTCAGTATACAATAGTGACATTAAGGTATGAGATATATACATATGTGTGTGTGTGTATACATATACACACACACACACACACATGTATACAGACACACATGCACAAAGAAGTATGTATGTATCTATCAGTATCATAAACAGCTATGTTTTCTTACTTATATTAAGTCAGGAACTGCAGCAAGTCAACCTGTGCAAGGATTATTGTGCTCAGAGAGCAGATGATAAAGCTGAAACATCAACAGCTCCACGTGCCTCTAAATCCTGTTGCTCTGAGCCAGTCAGTAGACAAGGCTAGTACATTTTCATCGTGCTTCATAGGAGGGACTTACACGTGAAGTTACCGATCTAGTGCCAGTCTAAGGTTAACAAACAAATGTCTGTCATTGCTGAGAAGGAAGCACAGCTCCCTTTCAGTGTTTATTACATCCCATAGTACTTTTGTTCTTATGTGACACCCTGCAACTGTTCAGTTAACGAGAACGCCATCCATTCTCATACTTACCCAGTAAGAGCAGAGCAGGCTTGTGTCAGGCAGTCTCTCTTCCCAATTTTGTTAATGCAGTCACTAAATGCAGTCTTGATATCAGGTATTGACAGACAGGTCTGCAAATGAAACCATAAAAGAGTTCTTTATGCTATAAAAGACCTTGTTCCGAAATGAATCCCACCACGTCCACAGTTCTGCTTCAGTCAGGACTGCATGACAGTGTTATGTCAAACCCCCCTTACCCACTAACGCAGCAAATTCACTTATTTAGACTCCAAAAAATTGAACATACTCCTACTTCAGCAAAGATAATGCTATTTTCAGACACATGCCCACATTGCCACACCTCTCTGAGCCTCAAGATGCATACTTCTAAGCAAATACAGTCATGAAAATGAGCACAACCTGTACACACCCTCTGCATACTCCTTCCATCCTATTCCAACGACTGGAGACAAGTTCCGTCTATCAGAATTCCACAAGAGTGGATGTTGTCTTCCTGTGAGCACACTCCCAGAAAATGGCTGGGGTGTGATCTCTCCTAAATCTCAGCATGTTCCTTTAGTGGGCATGGCCTCCTTGGACATGTCTGTTTGCATTTTACATGCAGGAGAGCAATGTTGCCAGGACTGAATGCAGCATATTTTGTGATGACCAGTGTCACTTTGTTCTTCGTGGCCATCACCACTTACACATCTGTAGTCTACATGCCAGATGACTAGGAAGTGGTTTTAAAATACACAAAAGAAACTAGTGCATTACTTTCCCGACATAAGACACAGTGTTGCCAGAAAAATTTTATTCTTAAGAGTTACAAAAGCAAACAAAAAAAGTTCAAGAGAGTATTAATGTCATGGAAAGCAAGACCTGCCCTACTGAAATCTAGATTTATACTCTTCTTCCCCGAACATGGAAGCAGGAAAGAAAAAAAAAAAAATCACTAGCCTTTAATTCCTTTTCTGACCTCAGTATTCACTTTCTCTCAGAAACCTTGGACAAACCATTTGAGCAATTCAGCTGGCCACGAGGCCAACTTTTTTCTTCTTTCTGCAAAGACATTTTAGCTCTTCAGCTCAGCTCAGACATGTGTGCTGGGCAAGTGCTTCTGAGATCCCAAATCAAATCCTTGTGAGTCTTGAGGATTAGTCCAAGTGGATTGGGTGTATACTTAGGAAGTACACACAACGTACAAACAGGAATTCAGTCTCCTACAAGTCTGGGCCTTAACTTAGCATAAAGATGGAAATGAATGATATTAGCTATCCATTTTGCAAAACACCAGTTCTGGAAAAATTAAATATAGGAAATTACTGTGGAGATGAGTATGTGATAAATAAGCAGGATTCGGTGCTTACGAATAAGACGGGTTCTTAAGAAATGGGTTGCAAGAAGTTTAATAGCACCCAACTCACCCAATGCCCTTGAATCCAGACTGGTGATTTTCCACTGTGAAGGGCCCAGAATCCACTAATTGTGTAACTTCTGATGACTATGTTTTCTTATGACCTAAGCTGCATTTCAGACTTGCAGTTTCAATGAATGAGCAGGAACTGTATTCAAAGTGTTACTCACTTCATACACAAAAGTCATAACAAGCTATTTCAATATTTTGGTCAAATGAAAAGCCTAAAGTTCATCAAGATGAGCTGTTATCCACTGGTTAAATAGTTAAAAAAAGTTTAATATTATAGCATAACAATTTCTCCTTTTCTGACGATACATTTTAGAATCTTTCAAAGAAATATGAGAAAGCATTCAAGGGGGAAAACAACAATGCAGAGCACTGTAACGCTGTCTTTTCTGCCCTGAACCGTACCATCTGAAAGCTCCTCTGTCAGAATTGTATTAATCCAAGCATGCAGTATAGTGTATTATTAAAGCATCGGTTAGTCTAGTCACAAACTGTTGCAGCCTCAGTTGCCCCAAATACAGAACCTCTCTCGGGAGGCAGGATTCAAGACAGATTCATTCAAACTGCAGTACTCTTCAGTTTTCCTTCTTATCAGTGAATGACACCAGATAAGCATGATGCTGGAGGCTTACTAGAGAATGGCAAGTGAGTTAAGTTTGGAAAGGGGCCAGTATTTCTTCCCTACTCACCGGCTCCAAAAAGCAACAGAAAGCTGGACAAAAAATAAAGGGCAGCTTTATTTCTACTTGCATTGGTCTGTGCAAAGCGGTCAGGCAATGGACTTTCCAAAAACCACCAGAAAACCAAGATATCTGCACATATCCAGCCAAATATGGCCATGTTCTGTCCCTGCCATCAGGAACAAGCAGCACAGAATCTGTCTCTTTCACCTGTCTATCTTTGAGGCCTTTGAGAAGTCCACCTCTCCTAGTGTACCTTAGAACTGCTGTAGCTTTTTTTTTTTTTTCTTCTCCAAACAGCTAGAATCTCTTAATCCATTTTAGACAGTTACTTTTTGCGCTTCCTAATACGATTGTGGCCTGCTCCAACTTCCACAGAACTGTCCAGCCATCGACCTCTATAGAAGTTTGGGTCAGGAAGGATTTTGCTTCTGAGGAGACTTTGCACCATTTCTATTTTTTACAGTAGGATGTCACTACATCACAACATTAAAGCTGTTTTGATGAGCAATGCAATAACATAATAACTGAAGTACAATAATATGCAGCAAAGGGGACAACACCACTGAACGATCAATTCCAAGAAGCCTTGTTTTAGCGTTCAAGGGGAAGCCGTGAATTGGAATTCTGTCTTACAGCAGAGGAAGAAGTAGGTTAGCCATTGTTTCATCTAGAAGCATTTGAGCTTTTCATGCTTAAAAGAAAATGCCATCTGTGGCTTGAATTCCCCTCTCTTTTCCTCCTCCCTATCTCCATTAGGAAATATTTGTTTATAGATGCATTTTGTTTCTCAACTGAAACCACGTAAACCAAGAGCAAACTATGGAAAGCGGATCATCTGTGATCACACAAATAGCTCATTCTTACAATAATAAAATCTACACATGACCTTTCTGGAGTGGTCTTATCTACCGTACATGTCAAAGAAACTCATACAATCTGAAGAGCTCTATCTCTCTTTCATCTTT